TGATGGTCGCTATTAGTCTGTAATCGTAATGATTATTGAGCATCCATACTAACTGTTATGAAAATTGGTAGTTATTATATTGGCATTGTTGATGATGAAAATTTTCACTCTTAAACTCCTTATATTTATCTATTGCCTTGGAGATGTTATGAGCTAAAGTTCATCTGCAGGGATCTGTTGGTTTAAGGATGCGGGTCCATGGGCGAAAAATTTGTTATGCAAACTGTCATTTTGCTGCACATTTGGAGGCAGTTAGCAGGCGAAATGCCGACTTTGATCATATTTATCGAACAATGTCTTTCAGCAGGCCCTCACACGGCTTGACACCGTCAGGTTGAAACTTTATCTGTCATGATTTTAGCCTTTCCTGTGGCATATCTCCTTTCTGTTAGGCATGTGACCATATACAAATGCATATATAAACGCACATGTACATACAATGTGTACATATATACATATTGTAAGGCCCCAAGCAAGAATTTCTAGGAGATCATCTATCCTGAATTTGTAGCAGCTCATGCTTGCTTAACTTTAATGTTTTTTTAATAGTTCTTCAAATACCAGTTACGATTAGTTCTTGAGTTGATAAATTGTTACATCAAAATTCTTCTAGTTTGGTAGTTATAATTCATTTTTTAAGTTCATTAGAATTTGTTATTGTTGGAAATCCTTATAGCTCAGTCCTATGTAGGATTATTCATTTGGGGTATTACATACTTCAGTTTAGGGTATCAGTATGGCATATTCACGCACTGATAATTCACCAAGCAGAATGAAACTCTGAAGGTCACTTCCACTGAGTGTAAAGGTGGCTCCTATATGTTCAAGAGATGTTACCTACCGGCTACCATATTCGTTTGTCGTTTGTTACTGTGCTCTATGTTGCATTTAGCTTCATTGCACACTTGTTTCTGCACATTTTCTAGCTAGTATTAGGTGTTGACACCATTTTAATACCCTGAGAAAGAACTCCAGGGGCTTGCCATTGTAAAATTGCTTCTATTCTAGCTCTCATAGTGAAGGAACTTCGTCCATAATTCCTCCCTAGAAAATACTAGCTATAATTGATCTTGAGTTCATAGGAGTTATTATGTGCCTTAGGACATTAGACATATTGCACGTAGTACTATTAACTCGGGGTGTTTAGTTGATAGTCCTAAATAGGATATGCACAAGGATCTTTGATATATAATATTACAGTAAACTAAAATATTAACTATAGCTGCTATCTTGAGGGATGAATCATGAATTTATTTTTGTAAAAAATTTCAGTGCAAGGCTAGTTACAATGGGGTAGTTGAATGATGAATTAAATAGTTGAATGGGTGTAATGGGGGTGTTGAATGGGGTGTTGAAAATGAGGTGGATTAAATAGAGTTGAAAGAATTCAACATGTTGAAAGAGAAGGGAGTGGGACCCACGCTGGACACGTGGCGGGCTCTGGAAGAGAGAGAAGATGAATTATTAGGTGGTGGGGTAGGGTGTTGAATTTTATTAAACAAAACCATTGTAGGGTGTAAAAGTTGAGTGGGTGTTGAATTATTAGGTGGAAGAGAGAGAAGATGATGTGGAGTGTTAAAAAGTAAAAAGTAGGGTGTTGAAAAACAAAACCATTGTTGATAGTCTTAGAGTTGTTCCTAAGACACAAGCATTGATTTAAGCATTTTTTGAAGGAGGAACCATGACAAAACTTTGTAGTTAAGTGTTCTTGAATGGAAGCAATTTGAAGGAGGTATGTATACTTACATATACATACCTACACACAGAGACCTGACACACACATTTTTATGCGCACACATATACATATAATATACATCTTCATGTGCATGTGCATATTGTGCATGTTTGTGTGCTTGTAAGTTTGTATATAGTTACTTAGGGCCCATGGAGATTATTTGGAATCAGATTATTCCTATTCAGTTCCAGTGATGGGTCATGTGCGCTTCATTCAAGTTGATTTGTATAATCCGGAGAAGTCAATATAGAAAATCAAATTACTTTGTTCTTTTTTTAATGTATCAAACAACCACAAAATTAACCTGGTAGAGTAAACCTAATGTTCAAGTCACTACATCACTACATAAATTTGTATAGGTTTTTAAACGGTTAAATCATAAACAGGATTTTTCATGCTCTAAACTGTAGTCTGTAGATCTAATTGGTTAAATTATGCTACTTCCAGATTTCCATTTTTTGATCCTTGATGCATAGGCAAAAGAGTTAAAAGATAACAACAACTTTATCGTGGGAATTGAACCTGTACATGAAAGACTTGTTTATCCTAATGCCAGTCTCTGTATGCTTTCTTTTTCTACAAAGTCTCTTGCCAATTTATGACATGAATTCTTGCTTTGATCTCTGCTAGGGATTTTCTCCTCAGGCATGAAAATTTGTAATTTGTTAAGGTGCTGTAAATGTTATAGATCAACTTGAATAGGGTGGGATTTCCACTTTGAATGCTTATAATTGGATTTGATAGAAGAATTTTCTTTCAAATATTTCTGCAAGGAATTAAGTGTACACTCACCTCCACTGGCTCCATAAAAGAAAATGTATAGTTTAATTTAATGACTGCATGTTTATTTTTGCTGGTGCAGGTGGTGCGTCATCTACTGCTCCATTAAACCGTGGAGGCAATGTATGTAATATATTTACCTTTCATTTTGTTCAACAAATTTTCATTCTCTAAATACATGATATAAATATAATTCTAGCCTGATGTGTCTGCAACAGGCCACAGCTAATGTCGATGACGGAAGGCCTGACTTGTCAGAATCAGACATGGTTGTATTTCTTGGTGATTTCAATTATCGACTTCATAGCCTTTCATATGATGAGGCAAGAGACATGGTTTCACAAAGATGTTTTGATTGGCTTAGAGAAAAAGACCAGCTTCGAGCAGAAATGGAAGCAGGCAGGGTCTTTCAAGGAATGCGTGAAGGAGTAATCACGTTCCCTCCAACATATAAGTTTGCAAGACATGTACCAGGTTTAGGAGGTGCGCTACTAACTACTGACACATTTCCTGTGAATGAGCTCTTTTGGCTGCTACAGAGGAAAATATCTAGCCAATTCTTTATAACTTCTAAATAATTTGTGTACTTCCTTTTCTTTCTTTCTTTTTACAAAGTTTCCATAATTTTTCATCTGAAGGCTATGATTGCGGTGAGAAGAAGCGTATTCCTGCTTGGTGTGATCGGGTATTATATCGTGACAGCCGCTCTATATCAATGGCTGAATGCTCACTGGAGTGTCCTGTAGTCAGCTGTATCACACAGTAAGTCTTTCTTTCAGCTTTAAAGCACGTTTGAATATCCATGTGATATGTAAATTAAACTGACACATACATTCTGTTAGGTATGAGGCTTGCATGGATGCCACAGACAGTGATCACAAGCCTGTCAGGTGCATATTTAATGTTGAAATTGCACGTGCAGATGAATCAATAAAGAGGAAACAATTTGGAGAAATTGTTTTATCAAATGAGAAAATAAAATCTTTGCTTGAAGATTATTGTGTTGTTCCTGAAACTATTGTTAACACAAATGATATCTACCTTCAAAACTCTGAAAAGTCTATATTACAAATTTCTAATAAATGTGAGAAGAATAAAGCTACTGTCGAAGTCATCTGTCAAGGCCAGTACACTATCAAGGAGGAAGGAAGTGCATCTATCCTCTGTGCGAAGGGCTCCTTTGGCTTTCCTCTCTGGCTACAGGTATGTTCTCATGTGATAGTTTAAGTGTATTAACATCATTTCAGAGTCTGAATATGTTTATATGTAATCTATTTCTTGTCTCAGGTCAGACATAATCTTAAGTCTAATTGTTCTGATCAAACTGCTTTCAAGTAGTTCAACATAGTTGTTAGATAGCCTAAATCCTTAGGTGTCATGATGGGAACACTTTGTGGCCTTCGAACCTAGGTCATGGTGTTCCTATCACTTGCTCAAGCATGTGAAATATCTTTTTCTCCTACCAGCAGATTAAGTATCATTCTTCTCCCTTAGCTTATCATGGTTTGCTGTCAGCTTCAGTATGTGTCCCATTTTGCATAATTGCTGAATGTTTGCTAGACATAAGGAAATTTCGATTGGGGTTATGAATTTGTGTCATAATTTCTGACAATTCCAATTTCTATTTGGACAAGTTGTGTCGGAAGTACACATTTTACTGGCGTTAGTATTTATACTGGCACTGGTATTAGTTGATAAGTCTAAATCTTCTATTGATTCTATGATACAACTGTTGGAGAAAATTTAGAATATGTGTGTGTGTGCGCGCGCGCGTGCGGGCGTGGGCGTGGGTGTGTGTGGCGCGTGCATGTGTAGGGAGTGATGGGCATGAGGTGGTTGCTCATTTTGCTAAATGAGCTACAAAGTGATAGAGTGGTGAGGTCCACACCTTTAGACTGTAATTTACATAGTGCATATGTCACACTCCGAAACTGCAGCGGAATTTCATAAAATACGGGGTGCGCGACAGCAACGACCAGTGCCTAAGACAAGTCTTATGCACGGGTCAAGCCTGACACTTCATATCACATAATTTATTTTAAAGTATTCATAAACCTGCTGATGATAGAAGTTAGAGCAACTATACATATGAGCCCACAAGCTCACCGTTATAAGCATTTTTACAAAACAAAATAAAATGTGCTGAAGGTAACATCAAAATGAAGAGGCTCTCCATATAACGCCTCTCAGCCAAAAGTTCAAACCCAAAGTCAGCTAGTAGGAAGCTACGTCGGATCTAAAAGAAAAATTTAAAAACAATGGGGTGAGCTAGCGCTCAGTGAGAACATTTCCCACTAGAGTTCCTAGATAACTAACAAAATAGTAATAAGAATAATTTTCAGAAATAACGAATTATAAATTTTGCATGAGAAATTCGAAGATAGCAAAATACGATCCAAATGTCATAATATTGTCGTCTTTAAGAAAGAATGCAACAATTATATTTTCTTTCTTATGTGTAACTGAATATACTGTGAAGTTTCTTGGAATCAAACTTTTTTTTTCTTTTTTTGAATCAAGGTAAACATTAAGACGGAAAAAAACTAGTAATTTGTACAAACCAGAGAATTATTGTTTTCTTAATTTCACAGTCAATTATCAAAATCTTAATTCTCGATGAGTTATTCATGAATATAAAAATCACCCCACAGGTCACATTAAGACTACGAATTATAGCCCAGTAGTAAGGGAATGCGTAATCGCATCACATAACAGATAATTCTTAGGAATCGAATGCACTTAACACTGTCATAGGTTACTAGCCAAATACAGATGGGCCAGAACAAATTTCAGAAGGGACAATACAGAAGGGCCAATACAGAAGGGCCAAATAAAGGTACATTCACCATATGACAGGCAGAAACAATCCATAGTGTACTATTTGAGGGTTTGAAAACATCGAGATCACATGTCAAATGAGTAATGCTTTGCATATCAGAATTTATAGATATTTTCAAATGAAGTTGACAAAGTAAAGTTTCTCATTTCAGTTAAAACAGTTTACGGATATTTATTTTTTTCTTTTATCAGATACTAAGTCACGGAAAATCTTTGAATCCGTTAAACTGTTGAAATATATTCCAAATACTTCATAAAAAACTTTCAAATAAAACAATGCCCACAATTATTTAAAAATTATACGAGAGCCAAATTCATATTTCATATTTTTTATAGAAATCAAATTTGCTTTTTATATATTGTACGAGGCTAACATTGTATTATAGGATAGACCACAACAGAAATATGTCAAATCTTTATATACATGAAAATGATATATTATTTATTTTTCAATCACAAGATAAATCAAATATAATACTCGTACAATTTTATATTATAAAATACTAGTGATAAATGAACTCACCTTTAGTGGACACGAATATCCCAAAAGATTAGTTTCCTTGCTATCAACCAGATCCTATAATATAAGATGGTAAGACTAATTATTAATTCAAGATAACCATATATTATAGGTAAATCAATTCATAATCTAGAGTCTACTAATTTTAAATATAACCAATAATAATTAAATTTTGCAGTACATATGAGCTTATTGTTAACTTTAGCAATTTATTAAAATTTTATAACTTTCATATACTAGCTTTTTTTGGATTTCCTAGTAATTTATGATAATGCAGGGTTTTATATGGAATTTATCAAGTCTAAAAGTTGTCTTTTATTTTTCAGATTAGACTTGTTTGCAACTGAACAAAAGACAGGGGCCTAATAGATATTTTCCAGACATTTTCAACCATAACTCATTTTACTAAGGTCTGTTAATAAGTTTTACATAGTTCAGGGGCTTAAAATAAATTTTCCTCTCTTTATATTAAAACACCTGATCATCTTCCTCCTCCCTTATTCGTTTCTTCTTCTTTTTTTTTTGGTTCCTCTTTCCTTCTTCCTCTGCTCTCTTTTTTTTCCTTTTGGTTTTCTTCTCCTCTCCCCCCCCTCTCTCTCTCTGCCATGGAGGCAGGACGGCGACGAGGAGCCGCCGACGACAAGGAGAGGCCGACGGCGAGAACCCCCCACCCAAATCTAGGTTAGTTTATTTTTCTTTTCCTTTGTTTTTTCAGTTTGTTTCATGCATCCTAAACACAGATTTTTTTTTCTTTGCAAACCCTAGATTCTTTTATTTCATATTCATAACAATTTAACTCCCTCACTCATTCTAATTTGATTCGATTTACTAAGATTTACTATAAAATTTAAAAGGAGATTATACCTCAATTGATTGGGATGTTGATTTGTTGCCTTGGTCTCCTTTTCTCCCTTCACAAGCTTTCTAATGATTCAATGAGTTTTGTTAAGGAGGAGAGGTGTTGTCCTTTTTTTCTTTTTTTTTTCTTTTTCAATTTTCCTATGTTTTTTTTTTTGAATTTTCTGTTTTTATTCTTCCGTTAAAGAGGTGCCGACCATATTGTCGAATGAATTTTAGTCACAAAACTTTAACGTGGCAGATAAACGGGAGTTAGGGTGAAATTCCTAAAATACCCTTAATTAATTCTCTAATCTGTAATTAAAAAAAAGTCCATTAATCAAGTTTTAAGGTACTAATTATTTAGGCTACTACAGCATATTCAACAATAACTATTAGGGGAAAAAAAGAGGAATGCTTCTATGTCTGGTAAATACACAATTTTGTTATTTAGGATCCTTTCTTGGGACAATTGGACTAAGGATATTATTCAGTTAATTATAAGCTGATGGTTGAAGTGGGAAATTGAAAGCCAAATCAGTTGTTCCATAATCCATTTATTGGGAGCAAGTTGGTAAAGAGTTTGTTCTGCCGCTTGAACTACTGAAGTATTGTGATTACGTATTGGTATATGGTAAACCTGGTGATAGTTACAGGTGAAACTGGCCTCTTCCAAGTAGCCACACTAAGCAAACTTGTAAACACTTGTCTTCATAATTTTGAAGTACTCTGGACAGTTATGCACTATGCGTTGAGAACCCCCCTTTCATTTAAAGGAATTTATTAGTTTTATAAACTTTAATGATCATGATTGCTTTTGTATCAGAATGCTGGCTAATCAGGAATAGAACCAAAAGTTTACCGAAGAAATGAGAAATGTTAAGATTCAGTGACCTCTTTTGATTAATCCCCACTCTGTCCATGAGTTAACCTGAACCTGATCAGTGTGGGATCCATTATTATCTGCATTTAAGTTCAAACTGAAGTAAATAGATAGTGACCATGTCTGAAAAATGCATCTGGGCAATGTTAACTAAAAAAATATTCACTGAAGCTGCATGATAGCGATCAAAATTGGATGGACGATATTTTATCCTATTGTTTACCCCCAAAAGAAGTGTAATTTAGATAATTGAAAATTTTGACGGAGAGAACTGAAAACAATTGTGATGGTGATATTTCTGAAAAGAGATGTCAGCTAATCAAGTCTCTGTTCCTGCATTGTGAGAAGGAGAAATAGATAGTGTTTAACTTCAATCCATGCCAAAAACATTGAGAATATTGAGGCTCAGGATGAACTATATTAAATCGCTGAGGTACTAAATTAACCGAGGACAATGACCCAGTTGATCAATGTTTATCCACTTGTTTTCAGCAATATTCTTCATCAAAGTCATGAATTACCAGATTAACTGCATAATTAGTTATTTCGTTTTATTTTTATTTTTTTTGAATTGCATTAATGCCTGCTATTTTGATAAGTTTCTTGATTTATATATGCATTTGAATGATTAATGGCAAACGTAAATTCTTTACAGTATTATAATTTCAGTTACCAAAGTATGCATTGTTTCACCAAAATCTACTACGAACCTCATTAATAATGAGTAGAAATGTCTACAGTTTTTCATAATTTTCAGTTCCTAACTGTTGATCGTTGTCTAGGTTATGTTTGTCCACTTTTCTAGGGTGAGCAAACGGTTGGTCGGCTCGATTTTGATCAATTTTACTAAACCGAACCTAACTGACAATATGAACCAAACCGAACCGGACCGGATTGAACCGAACAAAAAATATTGCGGTTTCGTTCGGTCGGTTTTTCTTCGTTGCAACAGCAATCAACTTTGAGTAGCAATTGACAACTATGATTATAGCAGAAGGTGATAAACGAAAAAGAATCAAAAGAATAATAGGTGAATTAATGAAACTGAAGTTTAAAGAAAGAAGAAAGGAGGGAAATGGTCTAATGGATGACTGGGGCTCGGTAAGCCCCTCGTGAGTAGAGAGA